ACTTCTGGGCTGTTACACTGAAGCTCCTGCTGGTACCTGAGCTGCCTGTCTGGGTGTATGTTAACTATTCTGTGAACACAAAAATACAGACCAAAAAATAGGAAAGCAAAGCTCAGCACTTTGGTAATTTTCTCCTCTTGGCTTCTTGGCTCTGCATCTTCTCCATTTCACCTCACTCTGCCTTTGCAGCTGTGCAAAGCACTCTGCAAAAGGCATCTAGATATCCTGCTCATGAAGGTCCCACAGCCCACAGTCGTGTTTCTGATTTTGGTAAGGGCCAAGCTCAGGTACAGTTAGGCATCCCAGTGGTAGCAGCAGCTATACCTGTGTGCCCAGCCTGTCCTGCGCTGCCTGGCAGCCCCAGGCTCTTGGGCTCAGGGATGCTCCAGTCCATGCATCTGCCTTTCCAGCTCCCCTGCCTGGGTCTTGGGCAAAAGCAGGCAAGTACCAGGCTGGCCGCTAAGCAGAGGGAGGAATAGCAGGATCTTGAAGCTACCCAAGCTCCTTTTCATTTTTCTTCCCTGTTAGCATCATCAGCCACGTAGGGCAACAGGCACAAAACTGAGTTTGCCTTGTACAGCTATGAAATCCTGAGCCAGTCCTTGCTGGAAATAGGAGCTGAAATAGGAGCTTAGGAAAGTATTCACCTCTACCCTATAACATAATTTGTGGTACTTTTCAACCAAAATTAAACAGAAATAATTTAAAAAAAAAAAAAAACAACTTATAAAATGAATGGTAACTCTCCTTTTCTTGTCTGCCTTTCCCAGAAATAAACCATTTTTTTGTCTTTTTTGAGGTCATACCCTGGTTACTGCTGGACAAAACCCAATCAGATGGTAAATCTGAAGGCAGTGATGGAGTGGAAAATATATCAAGACCTATGAAGCCATTACAACACTTTAATTACATACTAAACTGGTTTTTCCACAAAGCAGTAGCCTTCCAGATGGAGAGACCCAGGGCTGATAATAGTGGCTGACTCCCAGGCTGCAGACTGTGTGGTCAATCCCTTCCAGTCAGCTTTGGCTAATAGTACTTCTAAACCACTGCCTTACTTGTCTCACGATATTTTATAGCTATAATAATTATTTCATTTGACCTCTTGTTGACCACTGTCATTTACCCCACATTTTGGCACAAGGAAGGCCTATTACTGGCATTGTGCTCCCACCAGCAAGGAAATGCCTGGCCCTCTGAAGACTGACAAATAGTTGGCTTGAGTTGTGTCCCTCATCACAATCATCCATTGCCATCATTCTTTAATAATATCTTTTCATTGCTAAGGGTAGTCTGACATGGAAGACTGAAGCGTGGTGTGAGAACCTAAGGGTAGTGGGGAAGCTGTGTGTTTAAACTCTTAAGACTCCTAGTCTGGGTAAGATGCACTGGCAGGACTGGGAAATAGATGCTCCTGAAACCTTACCTTGTGTGTGTAAGGATATAGTGGGCGTTGTTTTTAAAGAAAAGCTCTGACTAAACACAGGATGAGGATCATGTGCTGGTCCCTGATGGCTATTGTGAGAGAAATCTACTTTTTTCCTAGTTGCTTCTGGGCACTTGGGTATTTTACAGGGAGAAGGCTGAATTCAAGGATTATGGGGCTAACAGCAAAAGGAACAGAAGTGGCATGGCCCAGCACCACGTATGCTGGTCCCCGTTCCTCCCTTGCAGGTCGTTAGCAGGGTTGAGAGCGATAAACCCGGTTGTTGTCTCTGCTGCTGGAGCTGCAGTGCTAGCAGGAACGTGTGGAAGGAACAGATTAGGCAGGAGGAGTAAAATGTGATTTAGTGGCTTTCAGAGCTCTCTGTTGAGAGCAGAGGACAGAGAGGCTTCAGGCTGGGTTCCTGTTTGTAAGGGCTGTTTTCTCTGATGGTTGTGCTATTCTTTCTCCACTCTCCTGCCACAAATGTGTCTTTGCCCTTTGTGTCTTTAGTTCCCGTATCACTGCTCTGTCCTCTGCTGTCTCCCACATGGTCCTTTCCACACCCTCATGAGGTTTTCCATTCCCTGAAGCCTGTGTGTCCCAGGCAGTGTCTGCTGATAGCTCAGTGGCATAGCTATTTGGCTGCAGAGCAAGTAACACAGCTGTCTCAAGCCTGTAATGGAATATGCTCAGGTGCTACAAGAAGTGCATATGTTACTTGGTTAGCTGACATGGAAGAGGGGCAAAGGGATGGACCATGCAGGTAGATGCCTTCACGTTAATGTTGGCTTCCTAACAGGAGCGTCAGACAAGGTTAACTTCTCAATATTGCTACCGGCTCTTGTGCAGAATGCATTTCTGATTCCCATCATACAACCTTTCCAAGTTTTATTCTCACAATAAACCCTTTGTTGTGCTTATAATTATAGTTTTCTAGAACTTGGCCAGATTGCTGCATATGAAGTTGCAACCATGTTGTCCTTGGAAGTGCAGGACAAGGATCAAGATGAAGGAGATAGCTGCTGAATTTGAACAAAGAGCAATTTGCTGGTCACCAGTAGAAGGTTACAAGTTTGAGAAAATGTTGTAATCAAGTAGTTTCAATCTGAAAAGGCATAAATCTGTGCATAGGTTGGCTCCATAGGTCTCCGCTGATTACTTCATTTGCCTGGTTGAAAATACTGGCATGATTTAACTTCTAGGAATGTCTGATCCATTTATCTGGCATGATAGTAATGGGGAATGGAGGGGCCAACATTCGGTCATTTATCTGTGTTTATTAGGACACTATGCTACCACTAATCTTCTGAATCAGGCATGAGGAGAAGACTTGGGGCATCCCTGTGTAGTATTTTCAGATATACCCATTGCTATCTGAACATCAGAGCAGCAACTGCTCTGTATTCCTCCTGTTGTAACACACAGCTGTTACAACACTCACACAAGCAAAGAGTGTGAACACTTCCACAAGTGAGGAATTTGCAATTTGCCCCATGCTGGAAGAGGAACATGCTTGCAGCAAGATACGTTTTGTTTCTGCCATGAGAACGGGAGACATTTCCTATTTGTACATTACATATTAACACATACTCAGGTTACTTAGAGAGCAATACAGACATCTCTTAAGATTTCAGTTGATTTCAAGTGTATTTCTTTGGGAGGTCTACTTTCATTTGTAAATATGTGAAATCTTGATTTATTTTTTCTGCATTTTATCAAGTGTTTAAAAAATGGCAAAGTATATTTTGATTCAGACATCCCTGCATCCCTGTCGTGTTTTTTTTCTTGTACATTTTAGCTTCAGTCTGACTAACAAAGAAATATTTAATGCAATATGTTTGGTTGATGATTTATTGGAGTTGAAATTTAGAAGGGAAATACGAAAAGCATGCCAGAATTGAAATGTGTTTCAGGATTTTTGCAAAAAATGCTTGTGAAAATATTTTTGTCGTCTTTGCTTTCTGTCTGAAGACATTGCAGGGAATTCCAACTGAAAATATAGCCTCTGCAATTTGCCTAAAACATGTTGGAGTTTTATTTTACAAAGAAGAAACAAATTCAAAGTGCTTGTTATTTACACTTTTAATTTCTCTTCCTATTCAAGTACAGCTTGACGCAATAATCAACTTCAAAGAAGAAATCAACCACTTGATAAATGTTCCAATATACAAGTATAGCTTATGAATTTTATATTTATATAAATGTGTGTGCATATATACATTTTATCTTAGACCTATATAGGCATAGTCTGGTGCTTGTTTTACTGAATAGTTTTAAATTTAGCGTAACGGCTGGGTTTGATTGCAAATCAGTATTTTCAATGTTGTGGTTATCAATTAGAATCTTTTTCCAGTTTAAAAAAAAAATCTTTGCAATACAACATTAAAATTGATTAATTGAAGTCAAGGAATCATTATTACTACTTGTGATTCAAATAATTGTGCTTTCAAAACAGTCCATGCTGCTTTCAGAGGGCTTTCCTGGTCTGTCCTGGGCAGATGGGAGCGATTCGGTTTCCCTGTTGGAATAGCAGAGGTTTGCCTCAGTTGGCAAGGGCTCTGCTTGTCATTTGACAGAAAGTTGGGCGATGCCTGCTTGCAGCCTTACAGGAGAGGAGCTCCTGCTTGCTGGAAGTGTATATTTTTATAGTGTTTCAGGGGCTAAGCCAGCTGGAAGGTGTGGTACAAACGGGAGGTTTCATTTCTGTAGTTCTTTAGAAGCTGAGCGAAAAAAAATAAGCAATAAGTGAGAAGTGTGCACAACTGGGAGAGGAGTAGAGTAAATCAGTGCAGATTTCCTTCTCCAGTGAATGAAGAGTATGAAAGCCTGATGGTAAGTCTTCACCAGGACAGCCAAGTGTGTTAGGGCATGGCCAGCCAGCACTGCTGCGCTCAAGCCTTTGCCCCGGCAGCACGCAGTGCCATCGCTCCTGGCTTTGTGCATTTCTAACATTGCAGGAGCGTGTCTGCCCGGCACGTGGTACAGGGCTGGGGTGCACGCATGGAAGTGGGAGTCAAAGCTGTGGTAGGCAGGTTAAGGTTATTCACTGGAGAGGGATGTTATTTTGTGGCTGTGCTTTGGCAGCAGGGAAAGCGGGCAGAGGAGTCTGATTTTTCTTCAGTGGAGTTAAGACACAGGCGATGATATTGAGCTGAGAGGTTGAGGAATGTGAACAAAATGGGTAAGTGTTGATTTTATAGCTGGGCTAATCTGGTCATTGTGTAGGAGTGCCTTGTTGTTAATGATGGCTGATAGTATTATCATGCCATCACCAGCTCCCAGCGTACTCTAAATTTTCTGGACATGGGGCAGGGGTGGGGGGATGAAAGGCTTGTGGAGTTTTCTCGTCCTTTCTAATCTCTGGAGGGGATGAGGCCATGCCCCTCAGGGATTTACACGTGATAGAGGCTGTAGCAGAAGGTGGCATTAAGGGGTGCTCATCTCCTTGCTGCTATAGGGCTGGGACACCCCTAAATGCCCCCCCCCAATCCCTGGACTTCTACCCCAGAACTTACACAAATATCAGCAACAAATTTTGTGACACTTTCATATTTTTTTTCTCTTTTTTCCCAAGCATCCTCTTTGCAGACATAGAGGGTTTCACAAGTCTGGCCTCCCAGTGCACTGCTCAGGAGCTGGTCATGACGCTGAACGAGCTCTTTGCCAGATTTGATAAGCTAGCAGCTGTAAGTTTTCTATTATAATTCTGATATATTTTTTTTCCTGTTGCAAGAATGACATAGTGTGCTGGTTCACTGGATTTCTGTAAATATTCACTGCCCTAAAAGGCATGCTATTGCAAGCATGAATATAAGCTGAATACTTCTCTCTCCTTTATTATTATTATTATTTTTTTAGGAGAACCACTGTTTACGTATCAAGATCCTGGGTGATTGCTATTACTGTGTGTCTGGGTTGCCAGAAGCAAGAGCTGACCATGCACACTGCTGTGTTGAAATGGGAATGGATATGATAGAGGCCATCTCGTAAGTACCATATTCCCCATGGAGAATTTCAGAACAAATGGCAGGTAGATTCTCTTCCCCATTAGGTCTTCCTTACATTAGTAGCAAGGTAGCCAAACTAGGGAGCTGATGCCAGCGAAAAGGGAGACCAGCTGAACAAGGAAACAAAATGTAGTAAAGGTTTGAGAGCAGACAGACAGACATTTGAGTCCATTACAGCCATGTGAATATCAGAGCTCAATCTCCTGATGAGAAAGGCAAAGGTTACTGCAATTACTGGAAGTCTCATTCCCAAAGGAGGATTCCAGTGAATTACAGAAATGTGAAATCAGAGGATTAACAATAACTTTATTCAATTTCAGTCACTCTTCATTTATCTGTCTTTAAACCAGCTTTTTACTCACCTTACAATTCCTCTGCTAAGGTCTGTCTTGTCTAGTTTAACTAATCCTTCTCCATGTGTTCCTATGCCAAAAATGTCAGATGCAAGACTTTCTTACTTTGGTTGAATGAATTATTGAGGAAAGCCATAAAGTTGGTCTGGCACAGACTGGGACAGATCCATGGTGCTTTTTCCTTAATTTCCACTTACTTCCCCATCTTTATTTTTTTCTTTTAAAATATGTTCTGAAGCTTTGCCTGCTGCTGAGGTCAGACTAGCAATCCTGTGTTTGTCCAGACCATCCCTGTCTTTAGAGAGTAACAAATATGAGAACCATATCTAGTTACATTACTTGGAGGATTGCAGGCAATGTTGAATATTACTTGCATCGAGCATGAGCTTTCACAGGCCAATTCTTTCAGAAATCAGGGAGGGCATATTTATTTGGTCACCTTGAGTGTATGCAAGTTTAGACACAAGGTTCAGTCAGTTTTGGATGACAACTGAGCTGACCTTAATATCTACACCATCCCTGCTGCACAGAGACTCTGCTTCTTTTTCCCTTTTCCTCTAGCTTTTTTTATTTTGTGAAAGCAGCTTCTAAAGTACCAGTGATAGCAACAGAGGAAGTAGAAGACCTCTATGCAGTTCTCCTTTCATCCTGTTCAGTAAACTGATGGAGTTTCCACTTCATCTTGATAAAAAACTAGAGCTACCTATTTGCTGAGCTTGATACAGTACATCCTTACCATCTGAATTTCTGCAAGGACATGAATACACATGCACACTTTTCAGCGTCATTTTCATAACACAGATACATAGCTTGAAAAGCAGTGTTTTCACTCAGGAGAGTCCATTCAAAGAGCAGGACACAGCAGCATTCACTTGCTTTGTGTATGGTGTACATTGTCAAGACTTCCTACCTTTACTTTCCTCTTTTAAACTCTGTTGCTTTGCACCAGTCTCCTTTGGGGGTTTGTATGCAAAATGCAAAATAAAAGGAGTTTCAAGTAACTAGTTTTCAATAACCCTTGAAAGGATGCTATTTTTCCCATGTGAAGTACAATGAAGTGGCAGGTGACAAAATGTCTTCTCAAACACAAGAAGCAGCAATTCTTAGCCACCAGCTGTACAAAGATGTTGTGTACATTGGCCAGAAAAGTCTCACTTTCTGCAGAAGCTGGCCTGATAAAATCCAGAGACCCTGACGCATTGCTGTGTAATCCCCCCCAAGGCTGAGTAACACCAAGATGTCTAGACTTCATTGATTAACTGCAACCCACCTTACCTTGAAATAAACATGGAGCTGAAGTGCACTCAGTGTTTGTTTACAAATAGCTCTTCAGCAGCCCTTAAAACTTGTTTCCCACTCCATGTATGATGAATGTATTTAACAATCTTCTCTCTTAATAAGTCTGGAAGGTGACTCTGTTCTCACTACCACTGCTTCCCCCCCCACCACCCACCCAAGGATTGAGATAAGAGGTTTCACAATTAAGGTAACCAATAGCTACTGAACATTTGATTGCAGGCTTCACCAACACTGGGCCCTGCCCGTAGGCTGATTTCATCTGTGCACAATAACAGCAGGGAGTGTTACCCCAGATCAGAAAGATAGAATTATATTTGCTGTACTGCTGGTATAAATGAACTAAAAAAAAAAGGAAGGTAACAAAGGATATTATATTTGTCTATAAAGGATAACCAAACTCATTTGTTTGCTGCAAAGTCTGGAGAAAGTCACCTTCTCATTAGTGACTCTACTGGGAGAAGTTCCCTGGTCTTGTCAGTAATGTGACTTGGCAAAGGGTGCAGTAGGGTTTGTAGCACTCGTGCAGCATGTTCTCCCTCCCTCCCAGTGCCATACCCACACTGCAGCTGCTGTTGTTCTTGCAGTGGTTATGGCTGCAGATGCATTTTCCTTACCCCAGTTCCTGTTGCTTTCCCAAGTGTTGTGGATGGAGCTTTTTCAGTTTGTAAGCCTGTCGTACCTTACTCATATGCAGCTTCCCCTTCCCTGCTAGAGAATCTCTGCTGCTTGTTAATAAAAATAATTAATGTCACTTCAGCAAGTGGATAATGACCTGCCCGTAGGCTGATTTCATCTGTGCACAATAACAGCAGGGAGTGTTACCCCAGATCAGAAAGATAGAATTATATTTGCTGTACTGCTGGTATAATGAACTAAAAAAAAAAGGAAGGTAACAAAGGATATTATATTTGTCTATAAAGGATAACCAAACTCATTTGTTTGCTGCAAAGTCTGGAGAAAGTCACCTTCTCATTAGTGACTCTACTGGGAGAAGTTCCCTGGTCTTGTCAGTAATGTGACTTGGCAAAGGGTGCAGTAGGGTTTGTAGCACTCGTGCAGCATGTTCTCCCTCCCTCCCAGTGCCATACCCACACTGCAGCTGCTGTTGTTCTTGCAGTGGTTATGGCTGCAGATGCATTTTCCTTACCCCAGTTCCTGTTGCTTTCCCAAGTGTTGTGGATGGAGCTTTTTCAGTTTGTAAGCCTGTCGTACCTTACTCATATGCAGCTTCCCCTTCCCTGCTAGAGAATCTCTGCTGCTTGTTAATAAAAATAATTAATGTCACTTCAGCAAGTGGATAATGAAACATAAGATAGGGATCGTAATGAAGAAGGAACTGTAAAAGGGTAGGAGCTGTTTCAACAAGAAGTCATCTTGAACAGTCTTTTAAGGGGAATATTACACTGTGAGGAGTGAACTACAGTCCAGAATTGGTCTATCTAAAGCATAAATATTAGATCTGTGTTGATGTAGGAAGTTGGAAGGACTTACCTGTCCAGAGGATGTTATCTAGAAAGGACTAGATGAACCTGAAAACCAAAGAGGTTGAAATCTGATAGGTATAAAGTACAACTTCATGCTGCAAGGAACTAACAACTCAAAGGAAAGGACTGTGCTATGTGCTGTAGGTGAATTTGCCTGTGAAACATGGACATTCTGGGAATGATGTGATCAGCAATAATGAGAAGCAGAGTTGTTCTAATGGCTTCATCAAGACTTTCCCCTATCCGCATTCCTAAATATATTTTCCATGTGAACAGCTCTTGAAGTTAACTTTTGCCCTAAAAGGGCAAAACCCACAAAGTATTCCAGCAGTCATTTTGGGAGTAAGCAGAGCATCCAAAACCTCATTAAAATCAGAGCTTGAGTATTTGTAGCTGCCTGTTTGGAGTGACTGCAATAGATGTGGTTCTCTGGTTTTGCTGCTCTGACTGTAGCTGTAAGCCCTGCTCAAGCTTTCCAACTGCAGTGGGGTATTTCACACACATCTCATATTTCATCTGTGGAAGAGTTGATGCTTGGTGCCATACAGACAAATTAAGATCTCTGAAATCATTTCCCTTTTCTCTTTGCAACATGCTATTACTCTTAATGAGGCTGAGTGCTGGTAGGTTATGTCCAGCTTTGGTATGGAAATCAGAGACCAGCACTTTATTCCTTTTACTGCCCCAAAGATTATTTTTTAATGAGTTCTCAACTTGACCATGAGTTCAGAGTATATGGATTTACTCCAAGGGCTCCCCTTTCTAATTAGTACTCTGCTTGGCCAGCCAGGCCATCCAAGAGCAGTACAGCTGGTCTGGTTTTGTTTTGTTGTCCTGTTGATGTGGATGAGCAGCACCGTGGGTATGACTGAAAAATTTATGGGTCATTACGGATTTTTGTGTTCTGGATGCAAGTTTGTGCCACCAACTACAACCACTCAGTTCTTAGTGATGTCCTTTTTTCCCATATCTCTTTTCAGACTAGTCCGGGAGGTGACGGGAGTAAATGTCAACATGAGGGTTGGAATCCACAGTGGGAGAGTTCACTGCGGGGTCTTGGGCCTTAGGAAGTGGCAGTTTGATGTGTGGTCCAACGACGTTACATTAGCCAACCACATGGAAGCAGGGGGCAAAGCTGGGTAAGTTCCTTCATCAAAGCTGTTGCGTTAATCCATGTGTTGTTTTGTGTCCGACCTGTCTCAGTAAGGTGGGGAAATGGGGGACAGAGGTTCAGAGAGTCTGTATGTCTGCTGTAAAATGAACTGTGGGTGTAATGTTTTAAGCACGTACAAATATTAGCAAAGTTATTCTGTTCCATGTCTACTTTCCATGGTTACGGAAAGTCTACAAAATCCCAAGATGGGCATATCCTTCTGTAGTAAGAACTGAATTCCTTCTCTGTGAAACACAGCTGATAGATACAACAGAAACAAGCAGGTCCGTGCAAACACTAGCAGAACTGGTCATGGTTACAAAGAGATGTGACCGTGTGTTAACAGTGTTTGCTGGACAGCGTCCCAGCTATTGATGGATACTGTATGAAGCATTGTTTCAGACCAGCCTTTTGGTTTGAAACATTCCTGTGAGAGAGCAGAGTTGGTTCTTGTTTCATCGCTATATGGACCAACTGAACACTGAGTTGCTTCCAAGCTGACTCTGTGAGATAATTTTTCTATGTGCCTTTCCATTCTCTGCTCTAGAAGAAAGTACAAGACTATGGTACATGATAGGATGCCTCTACAAGGCACTCTTGTACCACAGTGATTAATGTGATACAACAAAAAAGATACATACTGCAGTATATATTGCGTATATCTGCTGAGTAGACATGTCCTTGTGAAGGGCCTGTATTTGCCAAAAAAATACATCTGCTGTGTGTTAGAGCAAAGTGAATGAAAGAATGAGTGCTTTATATCTAAGGAAGTGCTTATAAATGGATGTGTAAGTTGCTGAATGTGAACACCTCTGTTCTTAAGAAGATGCCTCATGGCCTGCTCCCTTTAAAATAGATGAAACTCCCATACCACATAGGTAAGAGTAGTGGCATGGCTAAATAAATTGATTTTTACAGTTGTTTGTTCCAGTACATGGAATCTGTCACCAACAAGAACTGGCTTTTTAGGTGATAATTTTTCAGAGCCTACAAAACTGGCTTGTCTTTTGTCTCATTCAAGGCGCATCCACATAACAAAAGCAACCCTGAACTATCTCAATGGAGACTATGAGGTGGAGCTGGGCTTTGGAGGGGAGCGCAACGCTTATCTGAAAGAGCACAGTATTGAGACCTTCTTGATTGTACGGTGCAGCCAGAAACGGGTAAGACCAAAGAAACTAATGCAGGTTTTGATACTTTTAATAACTAGATGGATTTCAACACACCAATCTAGAGTGAACATCAGCCTTTATAGATGAGTGAATTGACTACCTGACCTTCAGTGACAAAAATTCCTGTTTCTCTCTCCTCTTTCTAAACTTTTGTGTGCGTAGAAGGGAGTGTAGCCACCTTCTGTGTAAGGTTTCTGCACCAAGTACTTTCTAGTTCTGTCAAAGAAACTGTCGTGAGTTGTTTTCAAAATCATTTTGAAGAATCTTGTTAATATAGATATGTATTTTTTTCAATTCAGTTTGATACTTGTACATGTTATTAAAGCAATAGACTAAATCCACAAAGATCTCTTATCTTTCAGATTACAGACAGAGGTGTTTTTGTCCACCTGCTCAAGATATTGCCACAAACATAAAGATTAGAGTAGTTCTTAACATTACTTTTCAGCCTCTATTTCTGAAGATGTGAAAATCTGGCCCACTGTAATGATGGATGATCACCGTGACAATGGGATGAGATCACACCTACTGCTATGACACGGGTCAGGCTGCACAAAATAAGGCTATTAGGGCATTACTGACTTGAACTTGAGTCAAGTCAAACTCAAGTGGACTTCAGCCAATATATCTTCTTTTTGTGACACTGTCAATAACAGAAAATAGGTTGATGTTATCACTAGTTTGTATTCTTTTAAATAATGATAGACTGTAATATTAGAAAAGAGCCTTTATGATCATCTAGTTGAGTCTAGCCACTGATATAGCCAATAATATTTCTCTAAGTAATTTCTGCACTGTAGACACTACTTGCTATTCACAGTAAGGGCAAGCATATAAAGATTGGCCTGAATTGAAAATGATTTGAAATATTTCTGAATGTAAGAGCAATTAAACCTTCCCCCAGCTGTAAATATGACTACCATGAGATTAAACGAATTAGTGTTTGTGACATGTTCTAATAGCGTGGTTGATTTGAATAACACCTATACAGAAATCCTTTGCCTCCATTGCCTCATATCCTGAGAAAATGGAAGCCTCAAATCTCCTTAATGGATATTGTGTAAAAAATCTCCAAGAAAATCCCTTATCATCTGCTAAAGAGAGAAGCTGATGTGTTGGTTTCTATCTGCTCATAAGATAAATCTCATTAACAATTGTCAATCTTCAAAAGAGGATTAGAGCTTGCAGTGCAAGATTATTGTTTCCTGAGCATCGCTGCCTGTCAGTGGGCCAGCTGATGTTTATACCTAAACCACTTCTTCGCTAGGTAGATTTAAGAACATGAACCAAAATACCCTTATGGTCAGGCCCCATCTCCTGGGGTTGAGAAGGTATATTGACTTCTTAAATCATGTACTCACCAAGTTGTCTGCATGTTCTTGCGGAGAACTGATGGTTTCTCTGGAGAGAGGTGGAAGACCTAAGATCAGGATTCTGCTCCTTGCCAGTGTAGGCAAAAAACTCAAAAACAGAGACGCAGAGCACTTGAGACTTGACTTAATTTTTGAACGCAGGGCTGTCTTTTAACTAGGAGACTGGACAGAGACTCAGGAGAGATGTGGATTCCATTCCAGACTTAGATTTTGAGGAACTTGCATATTTGTGCCTTGATTTTCCATGGTAGAATGAAATGGGTTCCCCCTCCCTCATTTTTTTCACTGCTTTATATGTATTCATTGCAGCTCTGTTACACAGCGTAGCCCTTAGCTGAAGTCTCTAGGCAGCACTATAATGCTGCTCTAACATGCTGCATCCCAGAGTAGCTAAGACTTGAGACATGCGCATGACCTATGTAATTATTGTGCTAAATTGAAACATAAAGAAACTGCTACCCAAGGTCATGGGTATTAGCGTTTAGAGTTTGAGGGGCTCCTGATTTGCCCCTTTGCTGCAACTTTCTTGCTCCCATAGCCATTTTCTATCCCTTTGTGAATAGTTTACAGTTCTCTCGTTTTCAAAAAACCCCTCATTTTCACATAATATGAAGATCAGAAGTGAGAAAAGCTTTCTCCCATAGTCAGCTCAGTCGGTCTTGAATATTTTGCCTCATGCTAGGCACAGTTCTAGCACTTCACTTTCTCCTTCCATTTCTGCTTGATTTTAATGACTTATTGTGATGTATTTAGCTGGGTTTTCAGTTCAGTCTATTCCAGTAATGGCCATAAAATGTTCACCTAACTTAGTAATGAGTTCCTGTGAGTCGTGTCTGGGTTCCTGCTGTCCTCACACACAAGGCACAGGATTTGCGTTCACCTGAGAGCAGATGCATAGCTGACCCAAGTAACTGTTTGCCTGAGCTATTCCTCAGTTCACACAGGCAAACTAAAATTATCTAAATACTTGGTCCATCAGTCCTACAACCATCGAAACCCAACAATACCAGGAGTTACAATGAATGTATAAAATGTAACGGCATCTGTTCCATACCCTTTCTGCTTACTGTTGCCATGGGGAGCCATAACTTTGAATTTCCTGTCTTTTTTTGTTTATTTGGCTTTTTTCATCGTTAATGCCATTTCTTTGGCACAGAGTAAATGGGAGGAACATTTATCTAATATTTTTGTTCCAGGAACTCAGACTAGCTCCTTCTTTGAAAACAGGTTTTTTCCTTGTTAAGGATGCTATTAACTGGAATATATTTAGTTGAGTTTTAGGGGGAAAAAAAGCTAGATTCTGATCACTCAGTCTTTAAATAACTTATCTAGAGCTGGAAAAGTAGTCCTTGTTTTCCATCTGGTATACAGAAGAGTTGCTTTCTATTGAAAGAGAATAAACTGCCAAGTTTTAAAATCCAGTCTGTTTAGGTTTCTCACTCCTCTTTACCTCCAGCTCCGCTTTCACCTTTCTGTTTGCTCTGTCCTGTGATGCAGCTGCTCTTGTGGGCGACCACTTGCCTGTGAAGAAGGCAGCGCTCAGGTACCCCAGAGCAGGGCAGGGCTGACTTTAATATTGCAGCGTTATATTCTCCTAGATAAAAGTTTTCTGGAGATTTTTTGAAAGCATATGTCCAAAGTTCCAAATTTGTTTTCCTTGTGTTTGCTCTCAGTTCCTTAAGCTAGGGTTTTGATAATTAAAATATAAAACAGTCTTAACTGTGTGAGATACAAAGGGTGCCATGCATTTCACTGTAATGTGAACCTGTCAAGATATACATATACATACATACATACATATATATATATATATATATAAAAAAATTCTTGTCATAAAATTAGCAGGCTCCACCATAAAGGTGTGTTGAATCTTTTGCCAGGGTTTGTTTGCTCCCATTAGTGCTAACAGCAGGCTGCTCTAAAACCTGGTTGCTCTGGTTGCCTGGTGTCTGCTGTCAGCAATTGTATCCCCTCTCTCAGCCTTTTTTCTTCTAAGACAAAGTCTTCTAATGTCTTCTTACAATGAAGAAGGGACAAGCACAAGCTCTCACAGCAAGCTCTTCATTTTTGTGATCATCAGAGGAAACTTCTACCTTTTACGTAGTTGCATTATCTTGGTGTCTGATATTTATTCTGTGATGAACTAATGTGATTCCTGATAATGAAGTGAAGTTTCTGACTGTAATCCCTAAGTGAATGATCATGCATTTTGTACACTTGGCTGTATCAGGTCCCATTTCTACTATGTCAGTCCTCACATGTTGGGTGCTAATACTCCTTTTCTTCTTAGCTATCACATACTACCTCTGCTTCTCTCATTAGCAAAGTCTGTCACTGCTAAACTTGGTGCCAGATGCGATAAGGAAAAAAATTAAACAAAATCTGCCCCAAGATTAATCACTGAGTAACTCTACTATTAACTTTCATCCAGCCTAATACTTCCTCATTCAAAACCATCTCTTGCCATTTCACTGGAAACCAGTTTTTTGCCCAGATTCATATTCCCCATCTGTCTTAGCCATTAGTCTCCAGCACAGCACTCTGTCAAATGCTCTATGGAAAAAACAAGGCCAGTGAGAGCTACTGTATTTTTTCTGTTTAGAAAAACTTGGATGCTCTCAAGGCTGTTAATCCAAGCCCAGCATTTGCTGCTCTACAAGTTCTGTGTCATGATCCCTGACTAAATAGTTATTAAAAGTGTCTGTTACCAAAACTGAAATTGCAGTTGGCAGTTTTGCACCGATCTGGGGTGGAGGTTGTCCTTCTGACTTCAGCACATGGCACTTCAGTTTTGCTTCCAGCTTAGTCATGTTTTCCGTTTATAACCCTACGCTTATGATCCCTCTTCTCTGTTGCCTCTACTGTGGCAGTAGTGATTATCTGAAGAGAAATAATATGTTCTCTCAGCTCTAGAGTAATGTAGATTTTTAAGTTTCTGTTATCCTCGTGTGTTACAGGGTGACTTACACAGGGTGACCTCTGTCCTTATTCAGTATTTTTCTCATTCTTTGAAGATGTGTTTCTAATGGACTTAATACCTTAGCATGAAAGAAATACAGGAATTCTCCAAAGAGATCTTTGCCTTTCCTGCATTAGTAGCTTTGCGTCTTCATTCTTTATCTGAAAGTCTGTGTTTCCAGATAAACAGTGAATTATCAGCTAGAATTACTAATACTATTACCCAGATCTTTACCGATTCCCAAACTTAACCCCGAGGCATTGTAGTGAACTACCCAGCATTGCTCAGTATAATATCTTTATCCTTCTAGAGACTTGATTTGGTTTATTCTTGTTATACTTTTTTCCTTAAAGTTTACCCTGCAGACTGTAATGTTCCTAACACACAGTTCGGTACCTCCACAACTTTTATATCTGTCCGGTATTTTATTCCAAACTTCTGTCCCAGTCATTACTGTTATCCTATCACATCCCTGCTGTTCTTACAGAACTCAGTTTAATTATTGCTGTAGTATCCAGTAGTCCCAGTTCTTGTGCTGCCCAAGTTTCTGGAGTTTGTACAGGATCATGTCACCAGGTGGTTGTTGGCAACTTTCTGCTCTTCTTTGAGATCAGGTGCTCCACTAATTTTCAGAACCATCACAACTACTCTTCTCATTACTTGTTATCATTGATAAAAGATTTACTTTGAGAAGGGTGGAAAAGTATGTGTTTGGAGGAGTGGGAAACAGACCTCAAGGTGAATAGAGTTTTAGCAGCACATTAGGTTCACAGCTAGCTTTATTGTCCTCAGCATTGTCAGAAGTCCGGGGAAATTCTTTGCTTTGAACACAAGTGGAAACAAAATGTGACCACCAACAGATGAGCAATACTGCTGACTAAGCACACTGTGCTGAGTGCACTGTAAAAATGTTTAGTTTTTCCTAATGTCTTTCAATTGCAGTAAACATGGGTGTTTCTTTTAACAATAGCAGGTACACAACAGTTTCAGAGAGGTTTGTTGATGGTGGCCTTAAAACAGCTCAACAAAACTTTGGCCATAACTCGTAGAAAAACAATTCTCATTCTTTTCTAAATAGTGTCCTGGAACTCCATCCAGCTGAAGAAACAAAATGGTCCTTTAAATGTTGTGCATGTGACTCTCCTAAAACACAATCAATCTGATGTGATGATCCCTCAATTTAACAAATTTAATACAGCTCAGCAGGGTTCCACTCATGTAGATTTATGAAGGCAATGGTTTGGAGCATGTAGCGCTGCAAGAAATATCATTCACATATCAATAGGACTTCAAGACAATTTAAAGGATAATGTGTAGCTGAATCTGAAATGGCTGATCCATGCTCAGATTTCACTGCTTCGTTGCACTGATAGTGATCAATATGTTGGAAAATCCTATCACACACTAAAGAAGTAACAGGCATTCTTGATGCAGAAAATCCCAGCTGCTTCTGCAGTTTTGCCATGGCATTATTGTAGCTCAGTGTGTGGGAACTGGTGGTGGGAATACAATAAGACCTCTGGGAATAAGATTTACAGTCTCTTTGCAAGTCCAGATTTGAAAAGTTCCCACAGCAGCTTTCTGGAGTTCAGCCACTTTAAATCTGAAAATCTCATTGCTGTCAGAAACTTTTGCACCTGCTCGTGTTAGTAGTACCTGTAATGAGTAGGACTGAAAGGTATCATCTCGTCCTTTTCTTTATTCTTCTTCTTGGTCTTGTTAAGCCTTAGGTAGCCCTGTGTGCATGTTGTCCTCGTGCTGTCATTTAGCCAGGAAGAAAGAGAGGAGGGATCCTCATAAATTTACACAGAGGAGCTGTGATCCTTCTAATTCTTCATTTTTAGAGTTTGTTATTATCATCACCCACTGAACAAGTGATTTTTCAGAAAATAAGTTCGCTCACTTTTAAAAATACCACCTTTAAAAAAATGTTTTTGAATAAGTATTGTTGTTAACAACAAAGTCCTATTTTTCAAGATAATATAGTAGCACAGTATGTAATGTGGGAAACCAAAAATCCACTCTGTTTGTATATATATATTTTAATCTGATTGGAAATATTGCTGAAACATGGTTCACAATCCAATGGAAACCTTCTACGGGGCGGGGGGAGGAAATATTGCCCGAGGTCATGTAGCCATGGAAAATCTATGGTGCCTGACCTCATGGTTAGAAACTATCTCAGAAGTATATATTTACCCATTTGTCCTGCCCTTACCGCAACCCAGATGTGTCAGCAAACATGAGGTCTTCTCTTCCCTTCAAATTAATCAAGTGAAGCTTCAGAGTCAACCAGCGCTAGCAGCAGGTATAGGGATCACTCACTGCCTGCGGGGGGTGGTAAGGACATCTGCTTGGATTTTTGGCATTAAGGCTTTTCTCAAATTCTAACCAAATTTACTGACTCATGGGGGAAACCTGCTATATGTATCTTTTATCATCTATTGATGTAAAAGCATTTGTAATGTAACCAAATAGCTTTGCTTTTATAGGTCCCCAGACTAGTTTTAGCGTCTGGGTTTTTTGATTGCTTTTGGTTGAAAACATTTCACTAAGTTGTAATAAAATGGATTGACAGTGTCACTTCTATTATTGAAAACGATATATATTTTCTTGGGGATAATGAAACTGTATTTCCTACCAGTTTTCTGGTATTGCATACATCATAGAAGAAAGCAGCATAACTGTGAAAAAGATTGCATAATTGAAAAAACACAAGACAGTGCTACAAATGATGGCAGAGACCATAAAGAGCAGTGACTTTTAAAAAACAAAACCTCAAACCAACTTAAATCTGGACATCAGCATTGCATCACATTGGTGTATTTTTAGAAACATTTAAAACACAGCTCTCCTGGAGGTTATCCAGTGGTTTTGTCATGATTGCTCATGTGAAATCCAGCTGGTGCCAAGCAATGGAGTTTTCAGCTCTTGCAGATGAAACAGTCATGGGTTCGATGCAGGGAAGAGGCGATGTGGGAGGCACTTGCTGACCTGGGGGCGTGCAGTGTGGGGGCGCATACAGTTCTCCCCAGCGAACATCCCAGGGAGCTGACAGCTCCCTTAGGTTTGCTCCCACTGAGTTTTCTTGAGATCCTACACTTGTCATCCTGGCTGGGTGGAAAAAGATCTTTGCTGGCAGCCCAGGGCTGCAGTGACCACTGGTACTTACTGTCACGGGGCCAGTCGGGTGTTCAGCACAGGGCTCCTGTCTCAAGTGGCACCATGTCCCCAGCTAGTGGCCATGAAGCCTGCAACACTGCATTCCCAGGAACGTTTGTGCCTGCGTGGTGAGCTTGTGATCTCATGGGAAATGTCATCGTGGCTGCAAGAAAAGAGATGATGATTTCCCATACTTGTCAATCAGGCAGCTTTCCCCAGCACTGAATTTTAGCAGGCTTTTTAAAATTTATTTAAAAAAAAAATAATTTAAGGCAGCGTAACACTTGACATTTAACTCTCAGGTTACCATGGAAATAACACCGGGTATTTTGCAAACTCCTGACAGGTACAAGTTACAGTGAATAGTGGAGAATCAAAATAAATAAGTAGGGA